AGGCTGGTCTTGAACTCCTGACCTCAGGTGATCCACCCACCTCACCTCATTCTCCCAAAGTGCTGGGATTACTGGTGTGAGCCAGGGTGCCCAGCCTCTTTCTTTTTGTAGAGACGGAGTCTTGCTGTGTTGCCCAGGCTGGGCTCCTATCCTGGCCTCAAGCTATCCTCCTGCATTGGCCTAAATGCCAGGATTACAGACATATGCCAGCATGCCCTGCTGGGCATTTCTATTAAGTTCCTTAATGATGCTAATGCTGCCAGCCCAGAGTCCACACTTAGAACTACAGAAGTGTTTACACTCTCTTAAGTGGTACCTATGGTCACATGAATTATTTTTTCACAGCCCTGGAGCACCTGAAGGTTTCATCGCATTCTTAAAGATCCATGACCCCAGAAAAATTAAGAGCCAGATTGCAGTCTAATCTTGCATTGAAAGCTCTTTCTAGGCAGCATTTCACAGCAGATGATTTTGCAACTGGTTCAGTCTTGGAGTAGTTCCAAGGGTGTATATGTGTGTTTGCTTAAGCACCTGGGCATTGCAGGCTGTACGATGCCAACACACTTACCAGTCCACACTCAGTTTCCTACCCAGAAGTTGCAATACTAGGAACATCAGCATGGTTAAGAGAGTAAACATGACAACTTTTCCCAGCATCAAATGTGAATATTGTGAAGAAGCAGAAAAACAGGGAGAGGGGAAGAAAGAGAATTCCCCGTGATGCTATTGAAGCAGAAATAAAACCTCTGCAGATAATCCTGCTGCCTTGTGATGCCTATTGATGTTGGGGCCACAAACTTGGAAAATGAATGTTGTGCCATCACAATCACCCTAAGGATCAGTTACATAACATTTAATTAGCATAAATTATACTCATCCAAAATGTGGCATGTGAAGTTCATATGTAAACTTTAATGCATTTTTTATTCTTTAAAAATTTCCATTTTTTGAATGTTTGATAATGTACACAATACACTAGAACAGTCATTTTGTATTTAATTTATAACATTAAAAAATAAACAAGCAAACATACATACATTGGGGCTCCATGATGAAGAAAAAAGTTTGGAGATTACTCCTCAGGTGTCAGACATGACTGCACCAGAATCACCTGGAAGCTCACTGAACAAATGCAAAGTCTCAGACCTCAGTCTCTTTCAGGTTCAGGAGCTCTGAGAAATTCACATTTACGCCAACAACTTGGGAAATTCTAAGGCAGGTGAGCCATTGACTCTACTGTGAACCCTGCTCTGAAAATGACTTTAGTTTGGTTTTTTTCTCTCTTTGTACTTAATAACTTTATTCTGACTCAAAAGCCATAGAGCTCCTCACCAAAGGACACACAGGTCAGTGCAAAGAAGGAAACAAACATGTCTGTATTCTGCATGTCTTTCTCTTTCCCCCTTCAGCAATGCCCCATCCTATTCCCAGCCCTGGTTGGTTGCACTCCCTGAGCCAGGCACTGGTCACTCACTGCATCGTGACAAAGCCACCTGCCGCCTGCTAATGGCGATTCGGCTCAGCCATTAGAGGGCAGCAGATAACAGGTCACTAAGCAGATAATTTCTCCGTGAGCAGGTTTGCCCATCTTCCTAAATAGTCCAATTTTTCTCGAATATTTTCTCATCAAGGAACATTTTCCAAAAACCTTATAAATGCAAGTCATGGAAGTGACAGCAAACAAGTCCAAGATGGCACTGCCCAAAGGAAAGGTTTCTGTTAGGCATGGCTCAAGGTGCTAGGTAAAAAACGAACAAAATCCTTGCTCTCATGCAGCTGACAAGTTAATGGGGACAATGGAAAAGTACGTTGTCTCTCACCGTTAGATGGTGGTAAATGCTGCAGAGAAAGACATGGCCTGGGCCAAGAGAGGGAAAAGCTCAAAGAAGGGAATGAATATTTATTGACCACCTGTGAACAACTGGTTTTCACATAAATCTCTTCATCTTCAGCACTCTCTCACTGTACCCCTCTTTTTTTATTATGCCAATTTCACGTGTAAAGAAACTGAAGCTCCCGCCGGGCACGGTGGCTCACGCCGGTAATCCCAACACTTTGGGAGGCCGAGGCAGGCGGATCACCTGAGGTCAGGAGTTCGAGACCAGCCTGACCAACATGGTGAAACTCTGTCTCTACTAAAAATACAAAATTAGCTGGGCGTGGTGGCACATGCCTGTAATCCCAGCTACTCCAGAGCCTGAGGCAGGAGAACCGCTTGAACCTGAGAGGCAGAGGTTGCAGTGAGAGGAGATCATGCCATTGCATTCCAGCCTGGGCAACAAGAACAAAACTCAGTCAAAAAAAAAAAAAAAAAAAAAAAAAGAAAGAAAAGAAAGAAAGAAAGAGAAAGAAAGAAAGAAAGAAAGAAAGAAAGAAAGAAAGAAAGAAAGAAAGAAAAGAAAGGGAAACTTAAGTTCTGAGACTTTAAGAAACTTGGCTAGGCCGGGCGCGGTGGCTCAAGCCTGTAATCCCCGCACTTTGGGAGGCCGAGGCGGGCGGATCACGAGGCCAGGAGATCGAGACCATCCTGGCTAACACGGTGAAACCCCGTCTCTACTAAAAAATACAAAAAAACTAGCCGGGCGAGGTGGCGGGCGCCTGTAGTCCCAGCTACTCGGGAGGCTGAAGCAGGAGAATGGCGTGAACCCGGGGGGTCGGAGCTTGCAGTGAGCGGAGATCGCGCCACTGCACTCCAGCCTGGGCGACAGAGAAAGAATCCGTCTCAAAAAAAAAAAAAAAAAAAAAAAAAAAAGAAACTTGGCTAAGGTCACAGCATTAATGGATACCTGCACAGTGCTGAACTTGTTGTCGGAATGAAGGTGAATTGTAAAGGAGACTGCCCACACATGCCTTTTATTAGCCCTCACACACCCCGCCTTCTCCAGAACTCAGTATGCTACATGGAATGTGCCGGGCCTCCTCTTCCCCAATTAATATCTCACTCTTGTTTTGGTTCCCTGAAACTCTTATTTTGCTCTATGCTAATCCCATAAATTGGTTATCATTCTACTGTGCAGACAGTAATGACTGTTAATTTCTGCTAAGCCCACAAATTAGTTTTCTCCATTTATAGCCCAATTGATCATATTACCATTCCCCAGGGAAGATATTTGGTGGAGGTGGGGGGCTTTTTCTGGATTTAGTAGTCCAATCCTAATGATAGAAATGTCAGCTTTTCTAGTTGGGTAATGAGAAATATGCATTCTAATTTGGCTTGCTGAACTTATGCCATTTATAAAGATTAGAGTCATAGTTAAAATATCAGTTTCTCTATCTCCTGTTATAGCTATCAGACTTGGAAGTGCTGTAAGAAAAGGAGTGTGGGCCGGGCGCGGTGACTCACGCTTGTAATCCCAGCACTTTGGGAGGCTGAGGCGGGCAGATCACAAGGTCAGGAGTTTGAGACCAGCCTGGCCAACACAGTGAAACTCCATCTCTACTAAAAATACAAAAAGTAACTGGGCGGTGGTGGCAGGCACCTGTAATCCCAGCTACTTGGGAGGTTGAGGCAGGAGAATCACTCTGATCACGCCACTGTACTCCAGCCTGGGCCATATAACGAACAAACGAACAAACGAAAGAAAGAAAGAAAGAAAGAAAGAAAGAAAGAAAGAAAGAAAGAAAGAAAGAAAGAAAGAAAGGAAAGAAAGAGAAAGAAGAAAGAAAGAAAGAAAGAAGAAAGAGAAAGAAAGAAAGAAAGAAAGAAAGAAAAAGAAAAGGAGTGTATGTTTGTGTACACGAACAAATGTAGAACATTTGTTCAAACACTAAGGAAGAAGATAGAATGGGAGAGTTTTATACTATAACAAAGGGAGCCTTTTATAGGTAAAGAGAATAAAGAATGAGACCTAAAAAGGTTAAGCAGATCTCAGGAGATTACAATTATATCTATTATTTCTGATAGTGCTGGCACTAGTGCCTGACTTGCAAGACTGAGGTTATTGAGGGTTTCATTTGTTTGTCTACTCATCTCCAGATCTCCTTTCTGAGAAAGCTGAGAAAACAGATGGAATTGAAAGACTAATTATAAAGATGTCAATTCTGCCTATTCCAATAATCCTATTCCAATAAAAATACACACACATACAGGAACTAATGATGCCTACTGCAGAACACAGTAGGTTGTCAGCATATATTGTTTCCCTTCCATTTCTCCTTCTGTGCCTTTGTTCATCAGTTTTCCATCCCCAGAATTCTCTGCCTTGGCTTCCCTGGTGTTACCTCACCACTAAGCCCCCGAATGATCTTTCTCTCCTGATCTTTATTAGCATTAACTTTGTGCTAAATACATAGTAGTATATAAGCTTTGTGGAGGCAGAGGCCATGATTTCAATTCCTTCCTATGCTCATAGCACCAAATAGATCCTTGTACAAGGAGAGGGTCACCAACTCCTCTCCATTTTGGTTCATCTTCACTTTTTCACTTGTTTTCTTTAAGTCACTCTACTATTAAAAATCCTCGTATGGCTTCTGTTGTATAGGATAAATTCCAACTCTGATTCGAAGCATACAAACCTTTTCAAGGATTACTCTCCATTCTACTTTATTTGGTCTCAACTCCCACCTTATTGCCCTCACACTCTCGCTCTCCAGGGCCATGGACCTTATGTCACTCCTGTTTTAAAATTCTGTGCTTTCAAGTAGGCTGTCTCCTTTACCTGAAATGCCTGGGAAATTCCTTGGTGATTAAGTCTCAGACATCGGGACCTATTTGCGACTGTTCACACCTCTTTTCCTTCTCTACCTTGAGCTCCTATAACTCTTTGTCCCATAATGTATGGCCCCGATTAAACCACGGGATTGAGTTTTCTTCATCCTTGTTTTTCCTAGGCCTATTTAGTGCCTTCAACATGCCAGGAGCTCAGCAAGTCTTACTGACGATCGAATTAATGGACTCTCTCTCTCTCTCTCTCTCTCTCTCTCTCTCTCTGCTGGTTGGTTGGTATTGGTGACAGAATGTTGGGGGATGTCAAAGAAAGAAGGTCTTAAGAATTCTATATTCTTTGGTTCCCTCAGGAGAAACCAAATCCACCTTAGGCTCAGGGCCCCCAGACCCACCTGACTCTCTCCAACTATGAGAAACACCGCTAAGTGCCTGGAAATTTTGGTGAGAGGCTATTTTAGGAGAAAATGCTAATAATTTCCCAGATTAATGCTTACAATTGTCTTTTTTATAAATCCCTTGCCCCCACCCAGGGCCCCACACTCAGAGGAGCCCCACGCTTGGTTTAATGCTCTGCTGCCACCATCTTGAAATTCTTATAAATTTGAGCAACGGGCCCCATATTTTTATTTTTCACTAGATCCTGCAAATTATGTAGCCCATCCTGCCAATGAGTACATGATACATACTTCCCAACGTTTCCTGATTTGACAGTTTTTTGTTGCTGTTGTTGTTTTGTGTTTTGTTTTTGTTTTTGAGACCGAGTCTCGCTCTGTCACCAACCTAGAGTGCAGTGGCGCGATCTCGGCTCACTGCAAGCTCCGCCTCCCGGGTTCACGCCATTCTCCTGCCTCAGCCTCCTGAGTAGCTGGGACTACAGGTGCCCGCCACCGCGCCCGGCTAATTTTTTGTATTTTAGTAGAGACGGGGTTTCACCATGTTGGCCAGGTTGGTCTTAATCTCCTGACCTCGTGATTCGCCCAACTCTGCCTCCCAAAGTGCTGGGACTACAGGCGTGAGCCACCACGCGCCTGGCCCATTGGGCAGTTTTAACACTGAAATTCCTGAGTCTGAAAAAGCCCTCAGTCCCGGGGAAACCAGGAGAGTTGTCACCCTTCTTCTGGTCCTCAAACTGCAAACCAATGTGCCATGCATTACTTTGACCTAAGCCTCCCTGACATATTCTATCTGTGACCCCTACAAATAAATATTTCTAAACGCAACTCTCTGCTAATTACAGTTGAAGGTTTTATCAACTCAAACTTTTAAGTTACAGGAAACCTATTTCAAAAAACAGTAGGAAAAGGTGGCAGAGTCTAGGTCAGTGAAAGAGTTCCAGCAAGCCTATGAGCCACTGGGGATCCAGTCATTATGTAAATTTCTGATTAGGAATGAGGTTGGTAAATTAGTCACCACCCAGTTTCATCTTCTATAAACTTTCAATTCACATTATTGAGCCATATTTCTATTGGGCTGTTTGTTTTTTTCTATTGGTTTATAAGAGTTTGTTGTATATTCTACACCATCATACCTGGCTAATTTTTGTATATTTTTGGAGAGACAAGGTCTCACTATGTTACCCAGGCTGGTCTCAAACTACTGGGCTCAAGCAATGCTCCTGCCTCAGCCTCCCAAAGTGCCGGGATTATGGGCATAAGCCATCGTGCCCAGCGAGAATTCTGTATTTTTGATGGTCTTGTCAAATCTGTGAGGGTGTTGGGAGGACAATGTAATTTATATATATATATATATATATATATATATATATATATATATATATATTTAAAGGTATATTTTTTATTTTTTAAAGGTATATACATATATATATATATATATAAAAAACCTCAGTGGACTTTGTAAATAAAGTGGAAACCAGAATTCTGCAAACATTTAGAATGTTGAAGGCCAGGCACATGAGCCAAGAAATTGTTTGCCTACAGATTTTTCTTTCCTTCATTGTCTACCAGGAGGGTTACATAAGCCTATCTTCAGTACCACCCAAAATCCCCAGTAAAAGGAACACAGACAAATAATGAAAAGCCAAAGGCTCCAGTGGAAGTTCAATTGTCTTTATTTTTCTTATACAGAATCACAGAAGTAAAAACCAGTACCAAACTCCAGGTAAAAAGGTTTGATCTGATCGATTTGGCTGCATACTTTTGGTACGCATAACATTCTAAACTTAAAATAGAAATATTTATATTACAAAACATAGAAGTAAAATTTTAAAAAGTTAAAGTACTAGCACATATATGTGTTAGGAAAATGGTCTCTGTCAATTGCCCATTCTCCCAATTAAATTAACCTACGATTTCCTTTTTCTAACAGCTTATTTTTTTCATAAAAGTTGTACTTTGAGAAGTTACTTTCTAATTACATCATGAGAACACATCTTGTAATTAGCAACACTTCTGTCATTCTAGATCACTTCTGCAGAGAGCTTTTTAACCAAGCTGGCATCGACCAGCACAATCAAGTTTTTACTGTTTTACCTGCTTCCTGTATATGGTGTAATCAGTGAAAGAAATGGCATTTTACATCCTAAATAATATGGTGAAACACTGTCTACAAATTACTTAGATTTAACAGAATTGCAATTAGGTTTTGACAATGTATTTACTTCAAAACAAAGTATCAGGAAATATCAGGAAAAAATATCTTGAAAGAAAGATCTCAAATTATTTTTCATTTGATATGCCTTTTCAGTGACAAAATTTGAGGGTGAAATGATGATGTTTACTGATTGATTTAGTACTAAAAAGACTAGTACTAAAAAGGCTAAAGACAGTTGTCTTATAATAAGAAATATAGTATAAATAGCACCTTATCAAGAATTCTGCAGGGGTTTTAACACTTACAATAATAGGAAATAGCCATTAAAAAGTTGCTCTAACTTTAGACTTCTAACTTTAGTGTTCTTTAACAAAGGCCGTATTTTGTGGCCTTAAAAACAAAAAAAAATTATATCTGGCTTTATCTATTAGTAAACACAAAGGGTCCATATTTCATTCTGAAAAAAAATATTTATTATATTCATTCATAAATGTTCTAACTAATTTAACTAAAAAAAACTTCTAGTATTTTCTAATGCCATAAGCTTACTAGAAAATTACTTCTAAAAATTGGTAATATAAATCATCAATGATTTAACTACTTAAAAAAAGAGGGGTATCTGTTTCTCTTACATTTAATAACCTGAAAATGAGTCTATAAAAATATTTTTTAAAAATACAGTAACACTGCTGAGTTGTGTTAGGTCCCTTGTTTTTTAATCATTTATTTATTTATTTATTTATTTTAAGCAAGAATGTACAACTCTTTTTGCAATTTTTAGCTAACAAAAGACAAAAAGAAATAGTGCTCCCTTCAATTTAGTAGCAATAAAATCATCTACCTTCATCTCTCTCAGAGGGCTTAGGGAGAGTGAAAGGAATTAGAGGAACATAAACCATGGGTCCTTCAGGAAAAAGAAGTCACTTCATAGTGATGGAGGCAACAGCAGGCTACGCTCTTGTCTGCCTGCATGCTCAGCATCAGCGTGCCCTGCCCCTCCTCCTCCCACATAAGGTGCACCAAAACCTTCTTTTCTTCTACCACAGAGTCTTCCGGTAATAAAGGTGGTAACAGAAAATTGTTGCTTTGTCCTTTTGGGGCATCTCTTGCATCTCCTACTTGTTTTGCTTTTGGGGTACTATAACTCGTCTCTTTCCATTTCACAACTAGTATCCTTTCCACGATATTCCATAACTTCGCTACTTCATCTCTGACCTTTTCACTTGCCTTCTTTCCAACATGATCCAATGTGCTCTGTACATGTATATTCCGGTAGATCAAAAGGAATCTTATTTAAGATCCCCAACAAATAAGTCCCCCATGGAAATTGAAAGTGTCCTCTCAGAGACTCAAATTATTAATGTCTTTCAAAAAAGATTAACTTCATAGATTATAAATAATATTAGTTTGAAATATTAAACAGTTGAGGACTTCATTGGCAATGCAGGCAGACTGCGTGCCAGTTGAACATGATGCTCTCTCAGTCCTTAAAAGCTAATAAAAAAAATGGTTTTGGTTACATAAGAGGTATTGAATACATATTTCATGCCTTTTTTATACCAACTGTAGCAAACAGGGTTAGGATAATATACTTAGGAATCAATTTTACTGAATTCAGAAACATGTTTCTCCACCATACACCCTCAAAGGGCATTTTTTTTTTACACGTCAGTCAGAGATCTGCTTCATCCTTCAGTTTCATAGATAGAATTATTTTAAACACTTGAAATCTAGAAAGCAAACCTGACAAGGCTTCAGAATTTAAAAAGCAACAGCTCACTGTGTGTGGTATGCTATCAGATTGAAATCTATGTTGTCCTGATGTTTTCAGAGTTATTTCAAAAGACAAAAATACAGTTGCCACTGATTCATCAAAAACATTTGGCAACCTTTTATCATCAGCTACAAAATTACAGTGCTTTATAAAATAAACATTAAGGCTGAGCCCAGTGGCTCATCCCAGTAATCCCAGCACTTTGGGAGGCTGAGATGGGTGGGATCACCTGAGATCAGGAGTTTGAGACCAGCCTGACGATGACGGTGAAACCCCATCTCTACTAAAAATACAAAAAATTAGCTGGGCGTGGTGTCGGGTGCCTGTAGTCCCAGCTACTCGGGAGGCTGAGGCAGGAGAATTGCTTGAACCCGGAAGGTGAAGGTTGCAGTGAGCCGAGATCGTGCCATTGCATTCCAGCCTGGGCAACAAGAGCAAAACTCCATCTCAAAAACAAACAAACAAACAAAACCCACCATCAAATTCTAAGCTGCAATTTTTTAAATCCCAAGTTGTAATATTTCAAAACCTTTTGTTTGAATAAAATGCTCATAATTAGTACCAAACTGGTCTCTTTCACAAGATCTATAGTGTAAGAACTGTGACTAATGCTGCTGCTGCTACTCTCCTGCTGGAGGGACTAAGTTGTCTAGATGCTCTGCAGTAAAATAACAAAGGATAAGCTACAATAAGACTGTGTGCCTTTGTAAATACAGACTAATAAGAGCCATCAGAGCCAGCATGGATTCAAAATTACATTGTATTCCATACAGTAGAATTTTACTATCCATACAATGATTTTTAAAGCTCAAGTTAAATAGTTTTTAAAGCATTTGGTACTACTGTCATCAATACAGTTTTTGAAACTGTAAATCAGGTCTGATTTTGTGCACATTTCCTGGACCACACTGCCCTCAGAATTAACTGCCTGTGGTCAGCTTTTCATGGTTTAAAATCAATTGGTGTATAAATTTCAATTAACACTCATAAAGCTTAGCCACGGGGCAGCAGAGAAGAAAGAGAAAAGTATTCTGCATAATCAATCCTGCAGGCACAATTCTGTATAATCTGTCGCAAGAATGCAGGCTTGCAGAAAACGAAAATATAGTATTTATTTATGTTTAACTTAAGTTACTCTCAATCGAAACCAGGCAATGATTAAACTGGCAACATAAAAAGGAGGGAGCACGAGTCATGGAGGCAGAAAGTGGTGCACCTGCAGACTTGCTCTGCTCCATCACTTTTTCCAAGAGGCCCAGGAAATGTAAGGTCATGGCTACATCCAAGTTACAATGGTAGTGATTACAGCCAGGTTAGAAAGGGCTCACTTTTGTTCAGAGCAGACTCTACATCATTGAAGAGAGGGATCAGGTCTTCAGATTCCAAAGTTCCTAAGTCAACGTTTGTTCCTGGAAGACAGTCAAGGAAATCAGGGAAACGGGTCTGTTGGGGGTTGATGTTCATGGGTGTTTGTCCTGCGTTTTCTCCTATAACAGAATGAAAAGAAACCATTTTAATTCCTTCTTTTAGGCTCTTGAAGGAGGAACTGTTCAAGTATTAACACAACACTCACCTTCATGTCTTCAACTACCATATTATTGACTCTTACTCATAGGAGGTACAGAGATGTGGAAGAAATCGAAAATTATTTCTGGACAGATGTGGTCCAGAATGGAAAAGGCCAAGGAGATAAGAAAGGAGCATGTGAAAGGCACTGTTGATCTGATCTATGATCTGTGCCTTCCCATGACAAAGGTGTGAAGAACTGTTTTACAAAAGAGTAGAGAGGCCCTGTCTGTAATAAACGCATTATTACAGAACTATAATCAACAGGTTTCATTGTAAACTTGTGTTTATCCATACCATCCTTCTTTATGTTCAAAGAGAATGATGTGAAGCTTCTTTTAACCAGGTAAATAAAAAGTTGTCTTCATTGATGGCTTTAGGCATTATTTATAAAGGGAGTTCTGCAGGCGTTCTCCCTCTTTCTGCTAATACCTGCACCCTACAACTATCTACCTTTCTCACAAGCATATGAGCCAAAATGCATATAAGCATGCTAAGGCTTTGAGTCTTAGAGTAAAGAAATCTTTTGCTGTGCAGAAGCTCTTTAGTTTAATTAGATCCCAATTGTCAATTTTGGCTTTTGTTGCCATTGCTTTTGGCGTTTTAGACATGAAGTCCTTGCCCATGCCTATGTCCTGAATGGTATTGTCTAGGTTTTCTTTTTTTTTGTTGTTTTTTTTGTTTTTTTATTTTTTGAGACGGAGTCTCGCTCTGTCACCCAGGCCAGAGTGCAGTGGCCAGATCTCAGCTCACTGCAAGCTCCGCCTCCTGGGTTCACGCCATTCTCCTGCCTCAGCCTCCCAAGTAGCTGGGACTACAGGCGCCCGCCACCTCGCCCGGCTAGTTTTTTGTACTTTTCAGTAGAGACGGGGTTTCACCGTATTAACCAGGATGGTCTCGATCTCCTGACCTCGTGATTCGCCCGTCTCGGCCTCCCAAAGTGCTGGGATTACAGGCTTGAGCCACCGCGCCCGGCCTAGGTTTTCTTCTAGGGTTTTTATGGTTTTAGGTCTAACATTTAAGTCTCTAATCCATCTTGAATTAATTTTTGTATAAGGTGTAAGGAAGGGATCCAGTTTCAGCTTTCTATTTATGGCTAGCCAGTTCACATGTACCCTAGAACATAAAGTATAATAAAAAGAAAGAAAAAGAAAGAAAAAAAAAACTTTAGTGCATATCGAAATAAAAAATAAAAAAAGAAATCTTTTGTTTTCTTTAAGCCACTATTTCCTAAACCCATTTAATCACCTAAACCTACTTTGACAGTATGTGTATCCTAATAAAATTGAAGTTCTACAGAACACAGGTGAGCAAATGCTGTACTAGAGGAAAAGTAGGTGTCTGGGATATGACATGAAGAATATAGGTTCTTTATGTGTAATAGTATGGGACAGAATGCACTACTGACTTTTGTGTCATTAGATCGAGCTTTGTGACTGTGTAAGCTTAGACACATTTAACTTGCTTGATTCTCAGTTTACCCATCTGGAAATTGGGATTATAAGCACCTTCTACAAAAGTTGGAGTACAGTGCCATACAGTGTCTGCCACACATCCGTGGCTCTAGGTGTCATTGACATATACAAAGTTATATACATATAAAAATATGATAAATGTTGATTGTCCTGAGAGAAAGAAAAACCTAGGTCTTCAGCCACTATTAATTATACAATATCAAAACAACAGGTTAATTCAAACAGTCTCAAACAATTTTCTGAAGAGATAATATCTACTTCAAAAATTGAGAAGCATTGATAACTAAGGTCAGCTTCTACCATAACGTCATTTTTAAAAAACGTGTTAAATTATCTTTTGTGTGTTACAAGTGCAGTAGCCTTCCTGAAAAGTATGCAGGGAAGTTCCACTATTTTAAGCAAAATTGCAGAAAGTTCACTTTAGCAATCTGTGTTTTCCAAGGAGAAAAATTATATCCTTCCAAATGATGAAGGAACCATAATCCAATTTGGATTTTGGTGATAGCAAAACACAATGGCTTTTCTAGAAGTCACAAAATATCAATGATTCCTGGACAATATTTTACAGTATTTTCATTGCAAAGGGCAGTAATCTGAAAAATTAAATCAAATTCAACAATATGACCTCAATACAGTGTTACTGATATTGAAAAACAACATAAAATAAAAAACAAAATCCAAAATAACTTTCTTCTACTTACTAGAGTGTAACAGATAAAAATGAGGCTCTAAAAAGTATCTGTTCTAAAAAACAATCTGATCTGAAGTGCTGGATGTCTTTTTTTCTCTTTATCTCCAGTTAGAATCATTCATTTCTACTCATGTCCCATTTTAACTTTCAAATACTCAAAATATAATTGTTAGCCAAGCAAAATCTCTGTTTTAAAGTATTCCTAGGCCGGGTATGGTGGCTCATGCCTTTAATCCCAGCACTTTGGGAGGCCGAAGTGGGTGGATCACCTGAGGCCAGGAGTTCAAGAACAGCCTTGCCAACATGGTGAAACCCTGTCTCTACTAAAAATATGAAAAACAACAACAACAAAAAAACAAAACAGTGCCAGGTGTGGTGGCACACCCCTGTAATCCCAGCTACTCAGGAGGCTGAGGCCCGAGACTCGTTTGAACCCAGGAGGTGGAGGTTACAATGAGCTGAGATCACACCACTGCACTCCCGCCTGGGTGACAGAATGAGACCTTGTCTCAAAAAGAAAAAAAAAAAAATCCTCTTATCCTTTCTTCTCAGGATTAAAGGCATGAGGATACTGGCTAAGCTTCTTCATTAAGGTTAACAATCTTAAACTAGAAGCAGCTCTGCAATCTCATAGTAATATTTTTGGTCTTTGCAGTTTATCCACTTAGAAAGTGGAAGAGACAAACAACATAAGGCAATTCTTTTTTTTTTTTTTTTTAAGATGGAGTTTTGCTCTTGTTGGCCAGGCTAGAGTGTAGTGGCACAATCTCGGCTCACTGCAACCTCTGCCTCCCAGGTTCAAACAATTCTCCTGCCTCAGCCTCCTGAGTAGCTGGAATTACAGGCATGTGCCATCACGCCCAGCTAATTTTGTATTCTTAGTAGAGATGAGATTTCTCCATGCTGGTCAGGCTGGTCTCGAACTCCTGGCCTCAGGTGATCCACCCGCCTCGGCCTCCCAAAGTGCTGGGATTACAGGCGTCAGCCACTGTGCCCAGCCACAGGGCAATTCTTAAAAGGGTGTGTAACTGCAGAATATTCTGGAAGGATGGATGATTTCCCAGCTCTTGCTCATGTTATTCCTTTTACTGGATCTTTGCACCAAGCCCAGCTGTTGTTTCCATGTATGTTTTGCAAATGGAGTGCTCAGCTGGCTCGTTTCCCTTCAGCATGTGGCCAGCGCATGGTCCACGGCCTGACAGATCTTTCCTAGCTACATTTGAGCTCTGCCTGCCCCCACAGCTTTCACTCATCTTGTTACTGTATAATTACATTTCTCCCCTTGAGAAGATTTATGTCCAGTTCCTACAAAGACTTCACAGAGGTGGCCCCACACTCAACGAGTTGACTCTCACTTAACCAGGTTAACCTGGCACTCTGACACGATCAAGTCCATTGTGTGCGTGACATCAGCCTTCTTACTGGAGAAGAGCACTTTGAGCTGGGCTCTGTGATCTCATGACTCCTCACAACTCTGCCGTGAGCATATCACTCCCACTTTATGCGTGAGAAATCTGAGGCTCATGGAGGCTATGTAACTTACCCAAAGGCGCTACTAGGAATGGAGAAGCAAGGATTCAGCTCAGGCTGCCTGTTGGCTGAAACTATGTTCTTTTCAGGACATCATTTAATTCCACATTATGGCTTCAAAATAAAACGCTCCCTACTTACCCACTTGAGGTTATTTTAAAGAGACATAGAGTAGAATCCATCCTCTTTTATGGTTTTGTTTTTTTGAATGCCAAACTTAGATTTAGATCTCCTGAACTTTTTTCCTTAACTATGCTTTTTATCCTTACAGGCTGCCCAGTGTTTAGAAGATGATAGTAAACAATTAATAAACATAGAAAGGAGCCACTTTCTAAGGCTATTCCAAAGACAGTAAAATAAATCTCACACTCAAAAAACAGAGAGAGAGAGAGAGAGAGAGAGAGATAAAGGGGCAGGGGGTTGTCGGCGGGGATGGGGAGGAGAACTGAAGTAATAAACTTGTGACTCCTCACAAGACAGTCTTTGCAATCTTCTCAACGCAAAGATGACAACCTACACGAAAGACACCGGGGGGAGGAGCTTTAATTTACTGCATTTGTAAGACACCTGGCTATGAGTTTGACTCTTGGTCTTTCCAACAATTTAGATTCACAACACAAAGAGGAGCCAGGTAAGAGTGGAGTGCAAAAAACCACAGGCACTATGGCAAACACTTTGGGGGAAGCAATTTTTTATTTTCAATACAAAACAATTCCTTTTCTATCGTCAATGATAATGGAGGAGGAATTTGCATGAATAACTCCAAACAGTGGACACCCTGCTGTCATTCATTTTTGGTTCTAGAATATCTTCTGTGAGTTTATGACTTTCATAATTAAGTCTAGATAAGGCTAATAAGACTAATTTCAGTTTCTGCAATTAGAAGTCTCACTCCTTGAGAAAAGGAGAAAAAGAAAGGTAATCAGGAAGCCTGCTGAGGCTGGACCTGAAGGATGCACAGGCTGGGGGACAAGGTAAAAGTAACCCTGACTCTCTTCTCTTTAATTGCCGAGGGAGGATGTCGTTACCATGTTGGAACTTGGAACTGACAATTTTGAATCCTCTGAGCTGCTCAACATTCCAAATGCCCACTGCCATTTGCTTTTCTTTTCTTTTCTTTTCTTTTTTTTTCTTTTTTGAGACAGATTCTCGCTCTGTCGCCCAGGCTCGAGTGCAGTGGCCGGATCTCAGCTCACTGCAAGCTCTGCCTCCCAGGTTCATGCCATTCTCCTGCCTCAGCCTCCTGAGTAGCTGGGACTACAGGCGCCCGCCACCTCGTGATCCACCCATCTCGGCCTCCCAAAGTGCTGGGATTACAGGCTTGAGCCACCACGCCCGGCCCCAGTTGCTTTTCAAATGCAGTGAATGACATGAAAAAATTTGGGTACTGGAACTATAAACCAGTGTCACTTTCCAGGAGAAAGGGTGGCCCATATACTACAACTGAAAACTAGAACAGCACGAATACCCCACTGTGGAACCATGGCAAAGCAGACAGTGGTGTCTTGATGCAATTGTGAGGAAGGGACTATATGGAGCAAAGATGAATTAAAACACACACACACACACACACAGAATTTAAAATCCTGTGCCCAGATGTAAAACTATACTTGTGTAATCTATGAGGAAGGGGCTACAGTTTATTAATAGTGCCTGGGGGTTCAGTGGC